TTTGACTCAACTTTTTAACATTGTCACTTTTTGCACAAAAGCTGTCTCTTATACACATCTAGATGTGTATAAGAGACAGGAATACCTGAGCGATTCTTTCAAGCAAGCTAGGCCTCACAATGGAGGAAGCTCGTGTGCTATTGTTTACAAAGTTGCAGGCAGCGGCTGCCGTTTTTCTAATTCAACTTGTAGTGTACATGCATTCATTCGCAATGCCTACCCTAAGCAAGGATCAGTGGACTTCTTTTAACAGTGAGTTTAAGACCATTCTAGGACCAACGCATTTTGACCTTTCTTCTAATGACATATCCCCAATCCAGGCTAGTGAAGCCTTCATCCAACATTTACAGAGGTTTCTTACATCTAAACCAGAGTTTGAGTTTGAAAGGAAAAATGATAAAACACAAAAAAAAAATTGCTACATTGAACACGAAAGTAAAACTCTTAAGAGAGCACGTGATACTAAAAATAAACTTAGGAAAAGCATTTGGAAAAAGTGCTACTGATGAGGACAGACGGTTATTCAGACAAGCAGTAAAATTCCATAATTATATAAAAAGGATGGAAAAAAGCATACAAAAAGCTAAACAATCAAGATTCCATGAAAGAATTTACTACTATAAGAATTTCTGGAAATTTAGCAAAATGTGTGTCAATGGAAAAATCGGCGAAAACCCGACCTATCCATTTACAGTGGAACATGCCGATGACTTTTACCATCAATAATATAGCACTGCAAAAGGAATAGACATTGGAAAACTAGGATGGTACCCTCCAAAGCCGACTATTACTAACTCACCTTCCAGCCTCGATCCTGTCCGACCACGTGACATCAAAAGCATTCCGAATTATAAAAAGCCGACATCTGCCCCTGGTATTGACGGGATAACCTATGGAATACTGCGGAAACTTCCGGCTACACACCACTTCTTAACCACTTTATACAGTAAACTGTTAGTTACCGGAGACCCGCCTCCTAGTTGGTCTTCAAGTACAATAACCTTGATTCACAAAGACGGCGACACAAATATTTCATCCAACTTCAGAATAATATCACTAATACCCACAGTTGGAAAACTTTTCCACCAAATTCTTGCCGATCGCCTTGCTGAATTCTTACTAGCCAATAGAATAATTGATTCAGAAACACAGAAAGCATTCTGAAAAGGTGTAAACGGCTGTGTAGAACACGCCATCGTGATGAATGAACTACTATCTGATGCCAGGAACCAGAAGAAAACTCTACATGTGACATTTTATGATCTTGCAGACGCCTTCGGATCTGTCGAACACGATCTGATCCATTATACATTGGAACGTAATAACGTTCCGCCTATAATTTGCAATTATATTAAACAATTGTATAGTAGATTAAATTGTATTGTAAGAGGGCCTGGTTGGGAATCCAAATGTTTCTCATTTAAGAGAGGAGTTTTTCAAGGGGATCCTTTGTCCCCAATCATTTTCCTTATGTCATTCAATCCCATTTTAGAAACGTTAAAATCGAAAGAGGAAAACCATGGGTATGACCTTAAGGGTGTCAAGTATATCACGCTCCCTTTTGCTGACGATTTTTGCCAAATTACTAGGAATAAAAAGACACATCAGAGCATTATGACTCAAATGAATAACCTAACTATGTCAATGAACCTCGCCCTCAAGCCAGTAAAGTGTAAATCCCTATCAATACGAGGAGGAAGATCCGATGAGATTGAATTTTCACTAGGTACGGTACAAACGTTCTGAAAACCCTTAAAGACACGCCAGAAAAGTTTCTCGGGTGTTTGATTCATTTTACTGGGAAATCAAGTGACCGATTCGAAGCTATAAAAAATAAAATTAGTAAAAAAATTAGTAATATTGATAAATCACAAATTAGGAACGAATTGAAATTAAGGGTATATTTGCAATATGCCATTCCGTCTTTAAGATACACGTTGACAGTGCATGGATTATCTGATACACAACTTAAAATTCTCGATCACATTCACACAAATACCATAAAAAAAAAACTGGCTTAATATTGGAAAACATAGTTCAACACCGGCTATCTTGTTCAGCCCAGATGC